TCTTGAGACATCAGTTGACGAGGTCAGAGGCTTGCATCGTAAACGCTTTTTGTCGGTATTGCCTTCATTTTCTTTTACAAAATCAATTTAACTTGCTAATCCACACACAAATCACCACCAACCACCATTATGGACAGGGGTGTCCTAAACATAGAGGAAACCTGAACTGAACATACAATATATGCAGCACTTTATAGGCTAACTTTAGTCTTTACTCATGCTTGCAGATGTCGAAGGATAATCTGCAGCACAAGAATTATTTGCCACTGAAACTAGTTGACAACACAGAGATAGAAGAACAACAGAAACTTGGTAAAGCCAAATCATGTTGCAGTGATGAAGAAGCCAACAAAACTGAACAGAAACACCAAAGCAGTGTGTGGAAAACGACCCTCAACCTGCTCAACTCCATGGAGGGAGTTGGTTTTCTAGCKCTTCCTTATACTATCCATCGAGGAGGAATCAGCGCGGTGATTGGATTATTCATTGTCCCTTTCATGAGCGGATACACTGCGTCCCTTCTTRTTGAATGCCTCTACGAACCAAATGAAGATGGAGWAAAGATACGAGTGCGATCCAGCTACCATGAGATTGGCCACCGTTGTTGGGCACCGTTACATACAGTTATCAGTGTTCTAATTGTTTATTTTCTCTWTTCCATMGTGGTATCATACATAGTTCTGTTCAGTTCTTTGATAAGTCATACATTCCCTGGAGTTCCYCTATCGGAATCACAATGGGCATGTATAGCGATAGCCATCGTTCTTCCAACCGTGTTTCTTGAATTCTTATCCAAGATAGCATGGCTTAGTTTAGTGGGTATAYTTGCACTTTCRRKATCGKTTGGCCTGTGTTTGGCGTACGAGTTGCARGCTGTCCATAAATGGGAAGTTAATTCATTATTGTTCTGGGACACCCAGGGTACGATGATTGCACTAAATATCATCGTTTTYAGCTATGGTTTGCATRCAGTTATCATACCCATAGAAGGAGAGATGGCAGATAAAACTAAGTTGCCCGTAGCTCTAGTATYAAGCTATTGTACTGGTRGATTCATCAAGATAGTGTTCGCAGTGGCAGGATTTTTAACCTACACTTCAGCTACAAATGAAGTCATTCTCAACAACTTACCATCAGGAATAGCTGCCAAGATAACAGCAGYCTTTTTCAGTGTCAGYGTGTTGGTTACCTTTCCCATTCCTGTCTTAATACTAGTAAAAATGTTCGAAGAGTCAGARCTTTACTGCAAAATAACAGAGAAGGTGCACCCRAAAATCTGCCTCGCATCTTTTCGTGTTKTCATTGTTCTTTCTTCTCTTGCWCTTWCTGTTGGATTGCCTCATTTTGCACTTGTTGCGGCTGTAGCTGGTTGCGGAGAATACATGGTTATGTTCATCTTTCCTGGTCTTTTTCATCTTGTTATTAAGTACAAAAACTTAAGGTGGTTTCATATCTGTATCGATTGTTTCTTTATGGCGCTTGGTGTTGGTGGTATGAGTTTAGGTTTGGTAGAAGTTGTGAAAAATTTAATTATGATCTAGTGTCGATATCAGCCCTCCAGTGTCCCCCCTTTGAGTGCATACCATATATTCGTGAAAATAAAGAAATTGTACAAACGAGTGCAAAGTTTTGTAGTTTTAAAGTCTACTGAACTTTGGGCCAATTTGTGCAATTTCTTACAAAGGTTTTCACAGATATATGGTGTGCACTCTAGCAATAAATACTATATTAGAATATATWATTGTGTGGATGGATCGTATATTATTAAACTTTGAGTTTAATGTATCAGTGTAGTAAGGGCCAAGTTTCCCCGTCTTAAAATCCCAATCATAATAGATACTTATATAACATTTATTGCAACCAATTGGGACTGATATACTTGTTTTCTAATAAATAATATARTTGTAGAGCAATAACTAAATCACATAATCATTCTCTATTATTATATAAGTATATGTAATAGGACTCCATGCTGTCCAATTAAGAAATAATTGGANCTATCGGAATCACAATGGGCATGTATAGCGATAGCCATCGTTCTTCCAACCGTGTTTCTTGAATTCTTATCCAAGATAGCATGGCTTAGTTTAGTGGGTATAYTTGCACTTTCRRKATCGKTTGGCCTGTGTTTGGCGTACGAGTTGCARGCTGTCCATAAATGGGAAGTTAATTCATTATTGTTCTGGGACACCCAGGGTACGATGATTGCACTAAATATCATCGTTTTYAGCTATGGTTTGCATRCAGTTATCATACCCATAGAAGGAGAGATGGCAGATAAAACTAAGTTGCCCGTAGCTCTAGTATYAAGCTATTGTACTGGTRGATTCATCAAGATAGTGTTCGCAGTGGCAGGATTTTTAACCTACACTTCAGCTACAAATGAAGTCATTCTCAACAACTTACCATCAGGAATAGCTGCCAAGATAACAGCAGYCTTTTTCAGTGTCAGYGTGTTGGTTACCTWTCCSATTCCTGTCTTAATACTAGTAARAATGTTCGAAGAGTCAGARCTTTACTGCAAAATAACAGAGAAGGTGCACCCRAAAATCTGCCTCGCATCTTTTCGTGTTKTCATTGTTCTTTCTTCTCTTGCWCTTWCTGTTGGATTGCCTCATTTTGCACTTGTTACGGCTTTAGCTGGTTGCGGAGGATACGGGGTTATGTTCATCTTTCCTGGTCTTTTTCATCTTGTTATTAAGTACAAAAACTTAAGGTGGTTTCATATCTGTATCGATTGTTTCTTTATGGCGCTTGGTGTTGGTGGTATGAGTTTAGGTTTGGTAGAAGTTGTGAAAGATTTAATTATGATCTAGTGTCGATATCAGCCCTCCAGTGTTCCCCCCGTAGAGTGCATACCATATATCCGTGAAAATAAAGAAATTGTACAAACGAGTGCAAAGTTTTGTAGTTTTAAAGTCTACTGAACTTACCAATTTGTGCAATTTCTTACGAAGGTTTTCACAGATATATGGCATGCACTCTAGCAATAAATACTATATTAGAATATATTATTGTGTGGATGGATCGTATATTATTAAACTCTGGAGTTTAATGTATCAGTGTAGTAAGGGCCTTGGTCTGCTGGAGATGGTCGTGACCAGACGACACCCCTCAAGTTTCCCCGTTTTAAAATCCCAATCATAATCATAGATACTTATATAAAATTTATGACAACCAATTGGGACTGATATACTTGTTTTCTAATAAATAATATARTTGTAGAGCAATAACTAAATCACATAATCATTCTCTATTATTATATAAGTATATGTAATAGGACTCCATGCTGTCCAATTAAGAAATAATTGGACGAGGAAAATTCAGAGGACTTCCAAAATTGGATGAGGCCGTAGGCTGAGTCCAATTTGGCAGTGAGAAGAATTTTTCGAGTCTAATTATTTCTTGATTGGGGAGCATGAAATCCCATTACCTATTAATTATATAGCTGCCTAATTAATCCCATATCAACAAGACCTATCCAATTAAGAAAATAATTGCACAGTTACCTATATGGAATTAATGAGAAGCTGTATAATTAAAAGGTATAATAGTATTTGTTATAAGTATCGTACAGTCATTCACAAACTAGTATACTAGTGTCTGGGACATTATTGGGGAAATTATGCTCATTTGCTGTTGCTGGGCTTTTCTGAAAACAATTCTATAGCTGGGACAAAATTCTTGGTCTTTTTCAGCTTTTGAAATAAAAAGACGTTTGTTTCAATACTTGTAACATAAGCACTAGCAAGATACACAGACTCAGTGTATCAGTTATAGGTGTGAGGAAAGACAACTGCTGTAAATGAGCAATGCCCAACTAAGTCTGCAACACAAGTATACACCGGTTTCAATAATGTGATATAAATTATTAGTYCCCTGAAAAGCTACGGAGCTGCAACTGCCAAGGATTATGGATAGATAGATCTTAATATCCGGCCATTAATAGACTTGTTATCTTTTACCAGTTACAGTTTCACCTTGAGCTGCCTCGAGATAAGTGACAATAGACCTATCCCGAATTCGCTTGACTGACCATGAAACARTGGTTTGAAGTCGAGATTGAACTTGATTCTTTTATTCATCAAGTCCAACCTCAACTTGAAACCAATGTTTCRTGACCAGTCAAGCGAATTCGGGGTAGGTCTATATGTATCAAAACCTTTACTTGTTGGTTATAAAACGTTTCCCATGACCCTCGGCAATCTCTGCTTTGTAGGTCTGTGACTAGCTTTATTGAAATAAGTATAAGCACTAGCAACTTACACAGACTCAGTGCAGCTCTTCCCTAACAGGYGTGAAGAAAGACAACTGGTATTAATGAACATTGCACAACACTGCTTATGGTATGTTTTTATGCTTATGTTACAAARTTCAGTAATAATACCATTAATTTTCATGTCAAAAATGAAATTATTTCAAATTTTGATCCATTAATTTTTGTACTCAGCTTTATAGACAAACAGAAATTCTAAGTCTTGGTAAGATAAGGTTTTATCATTAGGATTTCTATACTTAATATTGTGATAAAATAGGCTATGACTGGAGTAGTTACACTGCACATGTAAAGGTACTCAACAAGGTAAAATAAAWAAACCAAATTCCTCAAAATACAAAAAGTGTCTTTTTGTAATCCTCAGTTTGGCTTCATACATTAACCTAATTTGACTCTTCCAACTCCATTTAGGAGCTCTTACAGACTGTATAAATGTTTTTAAATATAGTTTTCTCTAATAATTATTGGTAACATGGTGCATCAAGTTACAAGCAGAAACTTCCAAATCTAACAGGACTCATTGTACAAATGTCCCATTAAGCAATATCCACTTAATAAATCCTTATCCAGCAGATAGACATTATCCACATGGCATGATTTGGTTGCACAATGATTGAATACTGTATGAGTTATCCACTGGATAAAGATATGGATAACTATTCATTGGATAGCACTTTTATCCCCTGCTACATACAACTGGCTACAGAACTTTTAAGATCCAGGCAAGTGGAAATTATGGGCAAAGCCAAGAAATGGACTTCCTGTGCTGTGAACTAGAGGGGAGAGGGAAGGCRGTTTAAATTCAATGCAACTGCCATTTAAAACTTGAACATTTCTTTGTTCAAAATTATGTTGCATCAAGTCATTTTGTATATGCTCTTTTCTAGACTTCCAAAAAGTTGGACTTGGTTGCAATTATAATTATTGGGGCTCATAAAAATCTAAAAAAGTAGGGTTTGTAATTTTGCTCCTGGAATTCCTTTTTGAAATTCTTTTTTTTAGAAAACTATCTTAAACCCTAAATATACTCGTAAAAAGTTAGAAGGTTGCATTATAATACAGATAAATAAAACCCTTCTATTCTACTATTATTTACAAACAAGTTACCTCTCAACTTGTTTGGCAATTGTTTTGATCGTTGTCATGTCAATCATTCAGTGAATTGTGTAGTGAGTGGATACATTTTGAATGGRGATCATAGTGAATGTGGTGCTAAGGGTTTAAATGAACTCGAACAGGAGCTGGTAAAGGACCTTAACAATTCTGAATTAATGTCTTTACATTTTGGTGAACTATACAATTTCTGGAATTTTGGCTTTAAACTTGTGCCATAATGACCGTAAATAATTTCATAAATGCCAAAGAGATGTCCACCAAAACCAATGAGCAAATTTACAATGTAAAACTAGACTATAGTAGTTAGTTACGGGTTGACCGCAATAGCTGACTAGTTAGTAGACCTAATCCACTGTGTTCCCATTTCAGACCAGGTATGATTCCCTAGAGTATCTTATTGTTTAGAGCAGTTTTCGTATGACTGTGAAAATGCCCACAGTACAAACATGGTCATGACACAGCAAGGCATATGCCCGACCAATCGCTTTGCACAAGAATTTACTCTTCATCCAATCAACTGTCCGAAACACGGCTTGGAACAACGTGCGGACACGGTCACGCCAATGTCACGCCAATGTCACAGCACTGTCCGACCAATCACATTGCATGAGAGAAAAATCCCCCAATCAAAAGTCTAGAAAACATCATGGTCGCGGCAAGGCACGCATACGGCACCGACTTTTTCACWGTCATACGAAAACTGCTCTAACAGCTACACATGACAAGACATATGAATATGAATACAACTCAAATAAATAATATTATTCTTGAGAGAATATCATGATCTGAAATGGGAAAATATTATGATATTATGCCGTGATGGATAAAGTACATAGGATGCCTGAAAAGAAGTTTATCCTAAAAATCCTTGGAACGACAACAATCAAAAAATTCCTAAATTATTGTGACTAATATTGGTCTAATAATTATATAAGTATGAAATATAGCTCTACAGTATAATATASAAATAAATTACCTGATGGCCTTTATTTATGAGTGCTTTGGGCCATCATTTTTAGTTAGCTCAGGATGATACATTTTGTGTCTTAGATGCCATGCTATACTTGCTGATGCTGATATGGTTTTAAATTGGTGGATTACATTGCGAGGGATAAAGTAGATGTCATTGTCCCTTAAAACGATATGGGCATACTTGATGCCATCCCTTCTTAATTGGTTCAACTTTGCATCATCGACCCAGAGGACACACTGTAAAAAAGAATGATAATTCATTGTAAGAAACAATATCAATTCAAAATAATGGCTGATTACCATRAGAGCACAAGTGGAGAAATATTGGGGAAAGGCCGGTGACTGATTGGCCATTATTTTAAGCCCTGTTTATGTACTCTAACAATATATTTGATTGATGGAAGTCTATTGCCCAATTTCAAAGTCACTACTTTTGTCCCAATGAGTAGTAACAATTTCATCATCAACACCAACACTACTAACTCAATGCCATTCCATTTATTATAATGTACCTGCGACACAGGAGGTTCATGCAGATCTAGCTGCAGCTTTTGGACAAGGTCATCGAAGTAAGCAGGATGGAAACATATCACATCTTTGCAATGTCTATTCATTTTACTCCTGCAAAAAAAGTATAAAARCTCAACAGCCTGTGAAGTAAACTATAGCCTTGCCTAAAAATGWATCATTAACTAAGTGAATTTGGTATCAATTGTGAAATTTAGAATACACAATGRATATAGTATGGAAATTCTCATTTGTGCCTTGTAGTTTCTCAAATAAACGACTYCTTGTTCTTTACTAAAGTAGCAAGTGTGTCCTGCAGACACCACATGTGAATAGAGTTTGTTTGGTGTGTTGTTCTCTCCCTTGCCACAAGGAGTTTTCTCCAGGTTCTCTGGGCCCAGTTGTTCAAAGCCCGATTAGTGCTAATCCTGGGTTAACTCTTAATAAGACCTATAGAGCTAATCCTGGATTAGCCTATAGAGTTAGCCTATAGAGTTAATCCAGCTTTGAACAACCCGGCCCTGGTTTTCCTCCCACTTCAAAAAATCATTATGTGAGTTTAGAGTTGTGTTCTTAAAACATTAGTAGTGGTAATGAGTGTGGAGAGTGTTGTATAATTAAACATTACTTGGCCTCTGGCGASGTAAAATAAAAGATTTAAAGCCCCAGAGAAAAATGACAGTTTTTATGTCAAAAACTCATTTCCATGTTCGACCATACCTTTCATTCTTTGTGTGTACTCCTTTGATTATACCAACGGCTGCAGTAGTCTGKCGATCAAACCCTTGACCCACATGGTCTGCGTGGCATCTTGTCCTGTCCTCTGCCAACATCTCTCTACGTTCTGATGTTCTTGGAAGATATTGTAGATTTTGAAGTTCATTGACAGTGGCTCTGAAGATAAGATGTCACATCACATTGACATATTTGTTAACCCAATTTAATGATTGTTTCATAAATTTTGCAAATTAAGAGTAATGCTTTGATTTTCGGAACAAATTATACCAATSTCTGTCATGACCTTGAGTGAKCTTSACATGAGATGATAATACATTAATCATGTCAAGTTCACTGGTTATCATGAAACTTCATGATAGCCATGATAATAATATGACGCTTATTAAGGCCCTGGCTAAAAGAGGAAACAAATTTCCAGAAACATGTTTTCCACGCACATGATTCCAAGTTTAGCCACATGTGAAACATTGCTATGTGCAACAAATTTTGCTTCCAAGACGCATGGAAACAATGTTTCCCAATGTTTCCTCGTTTAGCCACAAATATAAACATTCTAAAAGTTCGTTACTTAACAAAGCTAGCTCTATCTTAAAAGTGTGCATGCGCTAATTGATATTGAATAAACAATGTTTCCCCATGTTCCCTGACAGTTTTGCCACCTTTGGAAACATTTAAGAAAACATGTTTCTGGAAACATGTTTCCTTGTTTAGCCAGGGCCTAAGTCTTTCTTACCTCCGTCTTTTACTTGGTGAGCTTGATGAATCAGCTGTTGGAACAAATTGTTCCCCTGGACGTACCCAGACAATAGGACCATCATTACTCTGATTGCGATTTTCTAGTTTTAAAGCTGATAACCTTCCCCATGGCATGGTTTCCTTTAAAAATGGACTCTTTTCCAACAGGTCTAGAAATTCTGGAAAATAACCACCGGTCTCCTCTTGAACAGTCCCAACTACACTAAACTGCATAAGAGGACCACAACGAAGGGTTCCTGCACTATATGTTGCCTGAACTTTTGTTAAATATTCACTCATCTTGATAGTCTCTACGTCCAGTTTTTTGCTGATGGGTGWGGTTTTGACAGTCATATTTTGATGGTGTGTTCCAAAGTATTCTGTTAGTTCAGGAAGGTAAGATGCTGCACCATGAACAATACCCATTACATGTCTTGGCTGTCCTTTGGTGTCTTCACCATAGGTTTCCCGAAAAAATAGCTTGACAAACTTTTCCATTTTTTCAGGGCTTAAGTTGGCAATTTCATCATCGTAGACATGTACAACTGAAGCACCACCATTACAGTCTTCCTCTATATGTATTAGGTGAGACAACCTTGTTTTTTCCTTGGGATTTTCAAGGATGCAATGATCAATGTCATGGAAGTATTTCTCTTCATGCTTGTGATGATGCTTTTTGTGYTTCTTCTTTTTAGTTTCAGACACTCCATTTGACTTGTGTTCATGGTTGTTTTCCACACCTTCAAAAAGTGAATCAATAAAAACTTGTAGGTGTATGAAACGACCAGTACACACATCGTTATATATAGGTTAACAAATAGAAAGTGGTTTAATAATTAACAMTTATTGATTGGGACYGAGGGAAAYAGTGTGACATATTTTGTGGTCCCAACATGGCGATGTGATGTTCTATGAGGCGAAGGCAAGGGAAACATCTCCATTGAGGGACCACAAAACACACTACTTTCCCAAGGTTCAAGTCAATAAGTGTTTTGTTACATACCAAGTATCAAAGAAAAAAAAAAGCAGTTATTTTATCTCTTGATTGTTTAATTTCGAAAAACTTAGGAAAATGTACATTTCTGGGAAAATCCAGTATCATTATCATCGGTCAACAGCATATTGTTGCCCGCTGAGAGCCATTGTCAGGGAAACATGGAAACTTGTTCACATTCATGTGATGCCCTCTCRCCCAATCAGAGTAAGAGAAAGATGGACTTTGACAGTTGGTATATAACAATGTTATTATTTTGTTTGGCTTGCAAGCAAGATAAGRTAAGAATGAAAGTGGCGTAATCGATTGGTTCCCTGAGTAGCTTGAACCTTAAATTCCAAACTGTCCTTGCAGTTGGTAATAGTCGTTCATTAGAGACAGGGATATAAATAACAACCCGCATTAGACAATATCCGGCCAAAATTAGAAATTGACTGGCCATTTGGACCAGCAACGATGAGCCAGAAACAAGCAATGCATGACTAGCTAAAACTATTTTGGCCATTCATTATGATCAGCTACTGACCAGCCATTATTTTAAGTCCTGATAATTTCAATAACAAATTAGAACTACCAGGTCTATTATGGAAGAAGAAATTTACAGAAAGCATGTTACTTTCATTAACAAACAACTTCCTGGTAAGTTTGTAATATACCATTTGCATGTATGGATTTATATTCATAATTATTATTACACCTGTAAAATTTTATCTATTATAGTCRTCATATTTGTATTGTATTAAAATTGTAAATAATTTACCATTTAACCTGCCTAGATTAGTTTTAATATTTGCAGGTTGTTGGGTTTTTGTAAGTTTATTTTTCATACTTATTGTAATTAATGAAATAAAGTGTAAAGTGTATGGACAGCACTTTACAAGCTAGAAATTTCAAAGAAAATTCTAAATTTTAACTCTGAACATGATCATATTTTTCATTTATGACAGTCAACAAGATTCCATCAGACTCAATTCCAAGAATATCAAGTCTTCTTTTAGCAAATGCATGTAAGATATGTACCTGAGTTTCTTTTAATTTTCAGCTTCAGATCATTATGAGCAATGATCTGTGGTGAAGTTTCAGGTGTTCTTTGTCCATCTAAAACAGACAACATAACAGAATTTAAAAACCTTTCCAAAGGAAGAATGGATTGGTATACCCTCCTGGCACATTCTATGCATATAAATTATAGGGCTGTACCATACCTGGAAAGGTTTGTATTTATGCGTGGTTGTAAGCCCAATAAAAACCTCTCGCAAGCAATTAAAGCAAGGCATGCTCTTTCACAATCAAAAGTATGAAGTTTCTAGGAATATCTCTGCTTCCTTTTTTGAATGGGATTCCTGTCCCTTGCCGTCCACCCACCAGCTAAGCATCCTGCCACTTTCCCACTCGCAAATGTTTATCCCAAAATACTTCCTCATTCTGAAGAATTTTTAGCATTAAATTAAATTTTATGCTTATGAGGAATAGAGTTTCTCAGTGCATAAAAATTAATTTTGATAATCAGCATGGGGCAAATATAGCTCATAATTGGCAGTGAGGAAGTCGGGAATGACATATTTATGACTCTTAACACGACCAGGTGATTTTGAGTCTAGGCACGCAAAGCCTTGTTTGTTAGACCAAACATTTCCAAGAATTTTCTATYATCTCTTGTCAAAACGAAATATTTTCCCATCAACAACAACAAAACATACTATTTCTAAAAGATATTTGCTAACTCTCACAACGGATGACTTTCATCGTCTTTCATTTTCTACTAAAACTATTCTTTATCAAGCCGAAAACGTGGAATAAGGAAATATTGAATGATGAGCAAAATGGCCACTGTTTGGCTAATTTGTTCTGGTCTAGAGAAGCCAAATCACCTGGTTATACATAACTACTCAAAAATTTTCAAAGCCATAAATACCCACTATCCAATGATATTRTGGCTCAATAACACATCCAACACATCCAGGAACTTATAGAATATAGCAAATGCTTTTGTATTTTATAAACAACAACAACAAAAAGTTAAATACCAAATTTTACTGAGTTCTAAACTTGAAATTTGAGAGCGGTATTTCTTTTCGTTTTGCAAAGTGTAAACAAAACCTATCATGCGGAAATCATGTACAATTGMAAAACAACAAATAAACATAGTACAAACTGATGGTGTTCAATACACTTATTGAGAATWGACCAGACAGTTAAAAATAAGGGCACTTTTATACGCTATATAAATAAACTATTTGAGAGATCTGAGWGTGTGCATCAATGCACGTTTTCAGTAAGTGGAAGGACTCAGTTTACACGTGGGACTGAATTTTATAACATCTTTCCAGAGAGCATTATATTATTTTATAACTAGTATTCCTATAAGCCTACTAGTTGCTTCAATTATATTCTAGAATAATTTTGAGCAATCGAATTAAATTATCCAATTYAACGTTCGAATTTTTAATTCGAGATGCAAACTTTACCACATTTTCAACCGTTGGAGTTCAAATTTAAGCTTTATACTAATAGCWTAAAACTGAGGTGAATATTTCTTCATATATCGTGTAAAATCAATCGAACTTCTGCACCTCGAAAGGCAAGTTACATAGAACTAAGTCTTAAATTTTTCTCTCTCGTATATTTGTCTTTTAAATAAGAGTAAATATTGAAAGCAGGGGTTCAAAGGAAGGAAATAGAAAACAAACAAACGACAGGAACACACATCGTACGTCGTGCATATTAACAAAACCATTCCCATTTTCACTGAAAATATTAAAGATTTGTAAAACTAAAGACATAATAAAGATTAATTGAGCTCTCACCTTCTACCTTGATCTTCGTTAGCTTTGTTTTCAAGCCGTTACTGTGTTTGTTTGGTGAAGGAGAGCGGGAACCATTCTTGAAGGTTGACACAGTCGTTATATTCCAATGATCTTCACTTTGCTTTTCTTTCTCCGTTCGTTCATGTTTGCTTGACTGAAAATCGTGGCTATGCTTTCTTTTCTTTTTTAAATGTTCTCCACTGGGCTTGTCATCGGATGACAACTGCTTCGACAGTGGTGTTTTCTCCTCGTTACCTTCACTTGCACTCGCCATGTTGGATTCTTGTCATCGATTGTGGCGCGCGCTGTCGATGACGTAATGGGTCTGGGACCCATTTGAAATATTCTAAAAATATTTTTTCTATTTTTTAGCTTTTGATAAATATGACTTCAAGTAACGCATTGATATATGACATTAAGATTAGATTGAAAAACAGCTTAGCAAGTTTTCTCTAGTTTTCAAATACAAGTTGTCTATAAACTTTAAATATTTTTTTTCTGTTCATTTGATTGATCAAGTAACAAATCTCATTTTCTCTGTTTATCTTTGTTTTTAATAAGATATGAAACCATACTCYTTTTTTTCGCTTTTCAAATATTTTTCGGAATCACCTGCCCCACCCCACCCCACCCCTCCCAAAATATTGGGAATAATTCATCATGATATCGAGGCTTTTGGGCAAACAAATTAAATATGGCGGCTGCTAAGAAGAGGAAGCTCATTAACTGATACTCGATGGAACTCGTAAATAAACTGGTGCTTTACCTTTGGAAAAAAGGACGCCGCAACCACTGAGATCGAAAAGGAAAACATGTCAACCTGGCAAGCCACAGAACAATCAAAATATGCCGTAGGTCAGTTAGTTTTAATGTAGTTTAGTTTTCCGCTTCGACCAACTGGTACCATTAGCTTCGAGCTTTGTCTGCATATCTTTCGTTATCTTACATCTTAATTTGTTAAGCACTTTATTAATGAAATGATAATATAGTGAATGGTTTATACTAAGTGCTGTTTTTCGCAGCTATATATAATTTTGAGGGCAGGGTCGCCAGTGGCTTGCAGTTGGCTGTTGGAGATACCGTACAAATCTACGAAGAATGTGCAGGTATTTTGCGTACTTCAATTTTAAAACTTTATTCAACTCACCATGACAAAATAAGCTTCACTTAATAATTAATTGGAATAGATATTTTAACCTTTTTTAAGCTTCCAATAAAACAAGTTTTTGTAAAGATTTATTTACTTTTGTTTGCACTTTGATCAAAGTTGCTCATTTTCATGTGTTTTTTGTTTGTTTTGAACGACCTATTTTAGCAATCTCTTAAAGCTAATTTATTTGTCTAGTTATTCAATTATCACTCCTCCTCTTTGATGAATATCAGTTATATTTTCTTTTCTCTAATTTTGAGAAATCTTTGTTTTATATTTTCAGGATGGTATCATGGTTGCCTTACACGGAACAAATCTCAGAAAGTAAGTAAAGGAACTTAACCATACACCATCGTATTTTTTTCTTTATTTTAATCTGTCCCAAAAAATCCCCAATATTTTCAATTTTGACATTCTTATTTCTTTAAATGAAAATACCATCAAGATATAATCTTAGTTGCTGCGTATTTGTGGACGAACAACTTTCTTAACAAGATTTATTTCGAGATATAAAATGCATAAATTATATGAATGGAACTTAATTTTGTTATTGTTCATGTTCAAAGATTTTATGCCCTTTTCGTTCCATATTTCGATAAAAAATAAATAAAAAATAACCTGTAGCCAAAAAGTCAAAAGGCCTAGTAATAATTATTATTGTAATTATGTTTTGTTATGATATATATCTATCTTTTTCTTTCAGTTGTATTTTGGGTTTGAGAGAGAAAATTTTCAAATTCTTTTCACTATTAGATGTTAACTCAGATTTGTTGACAATAATTATTTTTGAATTTTTTGTTTTTGAAATACTTTATATTCATTTGATCATAATGGGTATTTTAAATATTATTATGATTATTTGATTATCAATTTTTGTTGGCCAAAAGCTACAATCGTTTGAAATTATTTATGCAAAACAATATTCTTATTGACAAAATATGCATGGCCGAACAAGTTTTATTCTGAATGTTTTCTGGTCTATTGGTTGAAAATATTTTCTACAAAACTAAAATTGTGAGATATTTTTATTAGTTTAAAAAGCAACATTGAATAGAGAAGCCATGTATATGCATTAATCTTGTCCCCTAATTATTGTACCTTATATCTTATAGGGAATATTCCCAAAATCCTATGTGTACTTAAAGGAGTGTGATGTTGAGTACTATGGGTAAGTTAAATGAGATCTGAACTCTGATTTACTTTTTGAAGTAATATTTCAAAGCCGACAATRAGGACTGGACAGGATTTCAAGTCAAAGCAATTAGTTCCAGTGCGAGGCGCARCCGAGGACTGGAACTAATTGCGCGGACTTGAAATCCCGTCCAGTCCGATATTGGAGGCTTTGAAATGACTTCTCATCTCATTAATTATTCGACTTGGAGTAACTGGAACAAAATTAATTCAGTCCTAGGACTGAATTAATTTTGTTCCAGTTACTAGGACTGAATTAATTTTGTTCCAGTTACTCCAGACTGAATGCATTCCTTTCACAGTTCTTTACCAGGTTTCAAATAACATCATGTGACCCAAAAATAGCCCATTGATTGGCTGGTTTACTAATGAATTATTAATGAGTATGAGAAACAATATTATTAACAGCTATTTCAAAAAAGTTTGTTATTCAAGAAAAGAGTTTCTGATATTCTAATATCATCATTTGTTTAATAGTTATATTTGATCTTATACAGCACTTTATATGAAGTTGTCATTCCTAAAGAAGATCCAACAGTCAAGGAGCTTACCTCGGTCTTGAGAGAATGGTCAATCATTTGGAAACAATTGTACATGGTATGTATTACATTTGACTATCTTGTAAGCAACCAGCATGGGTGAGAAGTAAATTGGTTGCTAATACAAGTGACAGTTTCTTACAAAAGTGTTCACGACAGTTAACCCAAACCTACCAAATTTTATATCCCTGTGATTCTTTAATAATTAACATTAAATTTTATTAAGCACATGAAAAATGTATTTTTCAGAAAAATGACATGCAGTTGTTTGTAGCCCTGAGGAAAATCATGTGGGACCTGGTTGAATTTAGACAACAGCTCCTGTCAGGAACACTTACACAGGTAAAAAGCAAACATAAATGTTGTGGCAGATACAGAAACTTTTTAAAATTATATATTAAAATGGTTGTCATTTTTGGTGAATTTATTAGTTGTTACTGTTGTAATTGCTGCCATTGCGAGCACGGGTAACTTGCAAAAGTGTCCCAGATGTTATGCTGGCAGTGGTCTCTCACTGAACAGCTGTGAAATGGTTGGCAAACATTTGTGAAACAGTCAACAAATGGCCAACAGTCAGCCGGTGTGCAGGGCAAGTGTGGCACTGATGTTGCATTTTACAGTGCTGTTGTTATTTTTGTCGTGGTTATGGTACAGGGGTGGATCTAGAGGAGTTGTGCACAAGGTGTGTACCCCCTGCTATACTTGGGCTATAAAYGATACGTATATTATTTCCTAATTTCTATTTTTTATTTTTGATCCATTCCCTGTGGTAGCTAGCTGTTTTTTAGCTTTGTAGTTGTAAAGTTGCTTTAATATTTTATTACATTAYTGTATAATATTTTTTCATTATAAACTTTTTCATTTTTTGCGATGTTTATTCTTTTGTSTAAAGGATCAGATGTTTGAAATAAAGCAAAAAGCTATCAATGACATTGATTGGGCAAACAGGTATATCTTTAGAAAAACTAACAACATTAATCTCTTGCAATTATCCATTTTTAAATTGTTATTCTTTTGATACCAAGAATCTGCTAAAAACATTTTACAGCTAGGTTTATTATCACAACAATCAGGGGAAACAGCTTGCTAATGCATAATGACAGCATTCTTTTTGGATCACTAATAATAGATTTGTGGCCAGTCAGAACAAAATCCTCAACCATTTTTGATTTTTTTATAATTGATGGTTTTGGTTATAATGCAATGTACATATAACACTATAGAGCCTTTGCACCATCACATGAGGGCATATCATATGCTTTGCACGATGCTGGGTGAGGGGGTGGATTTGATGGACCAGTATTCTCTTTAAGGGGTAGCATTGCAACAAACTGGAGATAAGTACTGGTTTCGAATTCTCTTAATGACAGCTATTTTATTTGGGAGAGACGACTTGTTACATGAAAAATAATGTATTTGAATRCATTCATAATTTGATTATTTTATAAATCACTTGACATGCTGTTACTCTCATTAGCAAGAATGCTTCATTGTACCTGAACTGTGTTCTTTCAGTAAAATGGGTTTGGATCTCATTCCAAGAAAAAATGCAGAGGTTATTGATGGTGATTCTACTAGTGTTGTAGAGCTTTACAATGTTGTAAGTAATCAGAAAAATTATTTTAATATRGGATTGAAATATTAAAGGTAAATGATTTGTTGCCTTGTATGAAATGAATGATAAATCTTCATTTTTATTGTTTATAGCATCTTGAAAGTGCTGAGGCAAATAAAAGTGCTATGGTAAGTTATTATTTAGGATTTTACAATATATATATATTTTAATTTATTGTTATGGGCATTTAAAAAACTTGCACGCCATGCTGCTGTGCTTGCAGTTATTTCACTTGTAACTTAATAGGTTCATGGAGGGTAGTTGCCTAGTAACAAACTGGATGATAAGCAAGGCTAGTAACTAAGAGGTTACCATGGCAAATTCAGGAAATTCCGAAATTAACTTTTGAGCTAAGTGGTCCTTTGGACAACCATGTTCTAATTCTTAGGYGTCCATTGCAAAACTTAGGAGTCCCACTTGGACGCCACTTTGTAGAGCCTGAATGACACTGGTCAGCAGTTAGCTATAATGCAGAAGATGCAATCAAATTTGTCAGCAACATTCAGTGGCTTCCGACGAATGYGTCATCTCGAATTTTTGAAAGTTTGAATGAACATTCTAGGTTTTGAGCAGAAGAAATATAATTTAGAATYACATTCAGACTTTTCGGACTCTTTTATTTTTTTWTATAAAAGAAAACACCTTGGCAAAAATGTAGGTCGTCAGAAGGACAACCACATTCCAAAATCTAGTCGTCATTTGCAAATTTTAGTCGTCCCAGAYGACTGGACGAACGCTAATTTCGGACCCTGAACTTAGCCACTGGTTAACCTTGGCACCTGTCACAGTGTGTTCACAGCATGGATTTGTTTTTACTTTACCATATCTTTTCCCAAGGGCAGGGAGGGTGGGGGCTAAGAGAGAAATGCAAGGAACTGCAACAGCAATGGCAGCTAGGGAACATTTAGGTTACTGTCTTTATAGCCTCCTTATTTATAATAACTAATAACTAATAACTCCTGTAAACCTCCAATTTTATTGATATCATGAAACAACCTCTGGGCTGATCAAATTTAGGATACTGCTAACTCACTGATCAATTTGGAATTTAGATGGATTGGTAGGTTTTGAAGAGGGAGGAAAACCAAAGAACCCAGAGAAAAATCCTTAGATTAAGGGAGAGRCCTTAAATACTTTACTCACAGGTGATGCATGTTGTCACTTGAAAACTGAACCAGAGATCCAGTAGCATAAGTCCTATGTAAAGTGTCTTGAGACAATTACAAATGCACTACTATAAGAACCTCTGATTATTTTTTTATCTTTATAACTGCCCTCTCTTGACAAACTATTTGACGTTGATCTTGATGATGTCATTGTGCCAGGGGAGAGGAACTATCAAGAAGGCAAAAAAGCAGCAAATCAAGACTTTCACCAGCAACCATTTATACTTCACCATGAACAGCTTTGTTTGTAAYGTAGAGGAGAGCTGTCAGGTCTTCTTTTCTATTTATGATGCTACAAAAAGTAAATTTATAAGGTAGGCTAAAGTAKTTTAACTTGACTCTGATGAGATCTAGGACTTTGAAAACTTGGGGGTTCATGRTGCACCACTATACCTGCTAGATYGAATCCGCTAGATCCACCAWYGTATGGGCAAWAATACRCCGTTCTCATAATGGCTGACAGCACACGRAAAGGAGGTCACCCAGTCATCTTGCAAGGCTGCTCATTCAAAATAAARGTGGATAGTGCAAATTCAGGTCAAAACAAAAGGTCAATTTTTTTTACTTTTCTTCTATGAACACATTTTGTGAACTAATGACTGGGTGACTTTATTTTCATGCACTTGTCAGCCATTATGAGAGTGGTGTGTAGAKCATGCCATTGCTTGATATTGGACCGATGAACTTCGGCTTAGATTACAATACTTTATTGACACTCCCAATTAGGGCTTTTCAGATTAACAATCAAGACTGTCTAGTGCTTAAATCTCAGGTGCAAACTAGGAACCATTAGTTGTTAACTTGTCTGTCTGTCTTAATTTATAATATTACAGCTAGTTCCTGTTTCTTGTTTATAGTGAGCGCTTTATGGTGACGATAGGTAAAAGTGACAGCAAYCAAAAAGTAAATCAGCTACAAAATATTAGCAATGCCACATGTGTCTTTACAGTAAGTATCGAATGACATTATAAGTTTATTAACTATTCCAAGGTCCAGGAAAAAACTGGGTCAAGGCATTGCAGGTGCATTGTTGTGGGGCTGTTTTAGGGGAAATCTTTTCAATTTTCAATATTTAATATAAGCTGCAAACTTTAATATGTTTTTGTTCTTTAACTTTTTCAAATCTTCAGGACTTGGGCGAAAATGACTTACATTCAAATTGCTACTTAGTTGCACAGATAGTTAGAGTTGGTAAGTAAGCTCTTTAGTTTGATTGAATGTGAAAATGCTGGGGTAATATTTTAATCTTTTTTATTTGTGTTGTTAGGTAAAATGCTATTAGACTCTTCATCTAGAAAAGYTTCCAACATGTCCTATAGAAGACCCTTTGGATGTGCAGGTATTGACTAATTTGTTACCTATAAAGTATCCATGCTTTTTTGGGCATTAGTAAATTAGCATATCATATATTTGTAATAATGCTTTCCACAGGGTGTTAGTACTGTTATCCATTGGGTGTAGATTGCCTGCAGGGTGTTAGTATATATGTTGCCATATGCTTTTTTTATGGGG